CCTCTATTGCTCTACAGAAAGGAACAGTTAATGATTACTTGTCTGATCCATCTTGCATGTCTATTTGTTTTCCTGAGAAACCACTTTGAAGATATCAATAAGTAATACAACAACCAGTGTTAGTTTCCTACAACTTTGTCTGTAACTCTGTTTTGTTTGCATTGTTCTTATGCTATTTTGTAAATGGATGTCTGTTAGTTAAAAAACAGAGAGAGAGAGAGAAGGAGGGGGAGAGGGAGGAGGGGAGGGGGGAAGAAACGGGGAGGGGAGGAGGGAGGGTAGGGAGAGAAGCAGCCTGTTTTATTAGTTTAAATTCATTGTTGTCATCTTTCCTTGCAAGTCATTTCTAGACTTGCAAACACACGGGAAAAATGATAAATCCTGCTTTCAAGTCATCTGCAGTTTTAAGAGTAGAAAACATAGCCACTGAAAGTATAATTTAATCGCTATGAGGAAGTAAATCTTTGTGGAAGGAAAGTGAGTGAAATGGAATGCGAGGGCTGGTCGGTTGGTCTTTGAGGGCTGTGGGGGCAGGAGGTGGGAACGTCACTGGGCACATGGCATTTTCAATACTAGGGAGCATGTACTTGGAGACTCGTAGAGAACAAAGAGTAATGGATGAAGCGGGAGAAAGGAAAACTGCGCGTAAAGAATAGCATGACCACTGACACTGATATAAACTGGGGCAAGGAAATCATTTGTGACTCGTTTCATGATCATATATAAACCACTTAACTAAACAATTGTGATTTAATGTAAAATTATAATTTTTAAGTGTTCCATCTTCAAAAATCAAACTGGCTTTCTGTTTCAAATTAATGTTGTTTAACACAAAACACCTCAAGTAGTCTTGAAAAAACAGAATGGAGTTAGAGGTATCACAATACCTTAACATAAAGCCTACTACAGAGTCGTAGTAAGCAAGAATATTTGTGTCAAACCAGGGGTGCAGACAAATGGAACAGAATAGAGATCTCAAAAAATAAGTCTATGCATCTACAGACATTTGATTTTTAACAAGGTTGTCAAAAGCATACGTCAGAGAAAGAGCAGCCTCTCAACAAATGATGCTGGGAAAATCAAATCTACACATGCAGATTGAAACCTGACTTCTCTCTCTCACTTTGTTAAAAAAAAAAAACTATCAGTTCAAAGTGGGTCAAAGGCTAAATATAAGAGTTGAAATTTTGAAAGTACTAGAAGAAAACACAGCGGAATACTTTAAGACATTGGTACGGGCAATGATTTTCACAAACTACATCTGAATTCTGTACAATCACTCACACCATGAGGGGGTCCCACCATTAGAACTCATGCGACAGAACATGATATTTCAGGATGCACATCTCTACTTTGTCTTATATGAAAAGGTGCATAAAACTGTTCCTTATTTCTTAGAGAGAGGCCTAAAGAGCATTCCCAGATGAAGATATGAACTTTTTCAGAAAAAGAAAACAATTTCGTATTAGAATATCCTATATCCTCATAACCTATGCTGACTTTGGAGTGGAAAGATGAACCTAGAGGTTCTCTACCGCTGAACGACACCTCTAGTCCCTTTTTATGTATTATTTTTTATTTTGAGACAGGTGCTGTCTCAATTGTCTAGGCTGCACTTAAACTATTGATCCTCCTGCCTTAGCCTCCCTCAGTGCAGGGATTACAGGCTTGTGCCACTGTGCCTGGCGGACAGTTGAGTCTTTAAAATATCAGGTTTCAAGTGGAAGTAGACACAGAACACATCAAATTCTCCACCTATCAACGTTCCAGGCTAAAGATGAACCCAGTCATCACAAGCCCTTTGTTCACACAGGATGTGCTAGAAGTCCATAACCTGCCACCCTGGCAGAGCTGCTGGTATCAGCGGTTCCCAGTATGCGTTCTGATGGAGGTTACTTCAGCAGACTAGGTACTGCCACCTCTTAGGACATGGAGAAATAGCATAGAATAAGAAGGGCTGCTTTGTGGAGAGTTGGGAATAAAAGGTCTACGGAATCTCCTCTTGGATCTCTGGTGCTAATCCTCAACAAGGAGAACACCATGAAGTTCCTGAACGCAGGGGGAGATGGGTGGGGAAGGGAAGCTACAACAGGGGCTGGGGGCCTCGGAACTCACATCACGCACACGTACGAAGTGCTGAGATCCCGGACTTGTCTGGGTGCAGTGTGGAGAGTCTCTATTCTCAAGCCCTGACCTCGTCTCCAGAGCAGGGTTTCCTCTTGTTTTAGACTTGGCACCGTGGGAGAATAAGATTGAGATAGTGGGGAGATAGATTGGAGGCACAGCTGATAGAAAATTATATATATTTATATTTTTATAAAGTTTCCAATTCCTTCTAATTTCCTGTTTGTATCTTGGGGAAAAGAAGCAAGAATGTTCGTATTTCCTTGGTTTTCCTTGCTCTAAGGTCTGAACATACATTTTCCCAGGGAGACTCACTATTATGACATTAGGGAAGTAGAGTTAGGTTGAGGTTATTTTATAACGTGGGCACAAGGGTTTCACAGATGTGAGTGATAGCAGGGGAAGACATGAGACATCCACAGCAGACAGTCCCCTCCCTGAGGGCTCCGGGAAACTGCAGTCAGGAGGGGTTTCCCACAGGTTCCTGACTTCTTAAAGTTAAGGGTCTTCACTGACTTGTGCTCTCCTAGACTTCCGAAGAGTTTTAAGGTATGATTCTAATTCCTTATCTTAGATCCAATTCTTGTAGAGCATCTATAGGGACTGCCAGCTCCCAGCTGAACTCGGACTGGTGCAGTTGTGACATTTAATGTCATCAGATATTTTCAGAAATCCCCTGAGATGCACAGGAAGCTAGAATTTGGGAGGATAGGAAACCATGAGTCCTGTTCAGATGAAAACTTCTCTTCTCTTACACAGAAGGGGAACTGAAAGCCTTTTCTAAATTCTCCCAAATTCAGCAATCTCAACACAGACAAATGAAGTATGAGATGTTTGTGGAGAACTAATCTGCACCTTGGGATTAAACAATGTCATAAGTTGCTGAAAAACTCCTTGGGTTGGATGTGCTTTTAGAATGAGTAGAATGTCTTTGAATTTACCATGTACTCATATACACCTTTAATAATATGGTGCTATGGCCGCTAGTAAAGGGCAGACAGAAAAATTACACTGCTTTGTTTTTTCTCTGAAAGAGAAACTTGTAAGCAAAATCATAGGATACTGTAGAATTCTCACCTGATGCATTCTCTTGTTTCCAGGAAATTTATAACTGAATAACCTTAGGGAAGACCTGTACTATGAGTACAGTCTTCTTAGTGACTTAGGACTCAATATCAGAGCTAGTGAAAGTCCTTGGATGTGATGAGATAATCAACAATGTGTAGCATGCTTCCTCTCATAATTTGTACAGACGGCTTCCTGAAAGCGGAAGACCTCAACACCACGGTGTGGAAAATCTTAGCCTCTTCATTGGCATTGCCTACAGAGGTGGCACCCATCTCTGACTTGGCACCATGGCAGTTCTCAAATCTCATGAAGCCCGAGATGGTGAAGAGGACCAAGAAGTTCATCGGCGCCAGTGGGATCGATATGTCAAAATCAAGCACAACCGGCAGAAATGCGGAGGCGTCTACAACAGGGTGCAGAGAAGGTTCAGGGCCAGATACTGATGCCCACAGAGGTTATGGAAGAAACAAAAAAGAAAACACATGCTGCCCAGTGGCTTTCAGAAACTCCTGATGTGCAACGTTAAGGAGCTGGAGGTGCTGCTGATGTACAACAAGTCTTACTGTGCAGAGATGGCTCACAACGTCTCCTCTGAGAGCCCAGCTCGCCATCCGAGTCACCAACCAATACCAGGCTGTGCAGTGAAGACAACGAGTAGACGGCTCGTGTGCATGTTTATTTGTGCTTAAATAAAACCACGAAAACTTCGAAAAACAAAAAAGAGAAAGAAAAGAAAAAGAAAATCTAGCCTGAGCAGAGGTGCCCCGACTTGTGTTAAGCAGCAGGCTCACTGTCTGAGGGGTTACCTCACTGCTCTCCATCAGAAGTACTGGAATTTCAGTCCTTTCTGTCTGTAGCTTAACGTTTTCCTTTCTGTTGCACTATATTTTGAGACATAGGATGCAGTGCCTACTAACTCCCAGTGTTCTGGAAATATCAAAACATTTTCTTTGAATCATAAACTGAACAATGATGTGACAGAAGGCGAGGCTGTATAATCGCCTGAGCTGCGTGGAGAAGGGTAGAGCCTCCTGCAGGTTGTCATGCTCAGTGTGCTCAGTAAATGAGCTCTGCCCGGTTTCCTCTACCACAGTCACTGATCGGCGTCTGAAGTGAGGTCTGTTCCCAGGTGGGATCCTCATCTACAGTCCTCCAGTTTCTAACAGAAATAGGGAGCTCCCTCCCTTACTGCCCATGTTTCTAGTAAGCACTACCCACATTCCAAGGAGCTTTCCACCCTCTCCAGCTTCAGCAGAGTTGAAACTCCGGAGTTTTTCTTCCATGGCCTCTAAGTACACATAATGTTATGGATCCTAAGATCAAGGCTGCTGATCACCCTGGGGTTTGGGAGATGAGCAGAGATGAAGCAAGAAACCGCTGTGAAGCTCTCAGCCAGTGCTGCCAAAATTCATGTATTCTCCATGGTCTGACAAGTGACTTTCTCTTCAGCTGATCCATCCTCTGCTGTCACAGCCCAACTCAGGATCTCTATTTAATCTCCCTTTCGAATGTTTCCATGGAGTCTATCTATTCTCACTAGTATGCTTCAAGTATATCCCTTCCTAGAACACGGATAGAGATGGGAGACTGAGGCACTGAGTAATATTCTCCAGAACCTGAAGGTTTGTTCTGTCTGTTTAAGAACTATACTTCTTTATCTAATGAACTGTGTTACCTCCTATCCTGAACCTTTTACAAGAACTCTGCCACTAGCAACAGATGTGTCATCTCAAAATGTTTTTTTCTGATTGGCTAATGATCAACTGATTTGAAATCTTAATCTTCTTTTCTCTTACTCCTGTGTATTCTGACTGGATTGTGAGCTCTACTGACTCCCATCAGAGCACCCAAGAAGAAAATGGCTATGAGGGGAGGCCTGGTGTTAGAAGTTTTCTTAATAGCTGTATTGATGAGGCCTCAGGGATCATGGGCTATCAAAGGTAGGTGTTAAGCGAAACAAAACAGGAGACGGTGTACTGTGAAGTTTTGGGGAGATGAAGTATGGAAGTTTGTAGGCAGTCTTTGGTGTGAAAGTGTGACAGATACTGGGTCTACATTTGAAGGTATAAAAATTGCAGCTTGCTAGGAGGGAGTGTGGTGGTGCATGCCTGTAATCCCAGCACTGTGGGGGTGGGGAGAGGGAGGGAGGAGGATCATGCTGGGAGTTCGAGGCCAGCCTGGGCTACACAGTGAGTTCAAGGCTACATAGTGAGACTCTGTCTGAAAAACAGAAAAAATTAAAAAATAAAAATAAAAAGCAAGGAAAATAAAATTGCACCTTGATGGAATGCTTCCCTCACCACACAAGTTGAAATAAATCAAATTTATTTTAGAGTAACAAAACTGAGTTGGCAATTGATTACTGCCATTATCTGGTATAAGCCAATTGCAAGAGTCAGAACATTCTCTGACAAGCATTTGCAAGTTATATGTCTGGGCTTTAATTTTTTTCTGATATTTGTAAAATTTTAAAATTGTAATAATTCTGTTAGGATTACATGAGAAAAAATATGAGAACTTCTTATCTTAACATATGGTAATTAATTTTTGGCACATAAATTCTGTCAACATATTTTCACTGCAGACACTGTATTGAAGATCAGTAGGATGAAAAGTCACTGAAAAACAACGGCTTGCCCAAGGGTGGGAGGAAGACAGGAATAACAATATTAATTTCATTTAATTTGCTGTATCTCGGGACAGTGATAACTATCTCCTTCCCCCATTCCATGCTACAGTGGATTTCATATGATCTGCAGTCACTCTTAGGAATAGTTCTAAGAGAGTGGAAAAATGAATACGTAGAGTCCCACACTATTCTCCGCCATCTGCAGAGAAAACATCTGTGTTATTGTAAATATGTACGATGAAAAGGTGCTCTTCCTTCTCACCCTGAGTGACGCTCCCCAGGGATGCAGGTAGGATGGAAACAAAGTAATAACTCAGCTTCCAGATCCATAGGGCCATTGTGGGGCCCACAGTGAGCCCTATATGGTCGTGCTTACCTAAAAAAGGTAAAGGTTTTCCTTTGTGATGGGAAGTGACAGCTAGAATATCTATGTTTGTGCATATGTCCAAGATGTTAAATGAATTTCTGGGTTTATCCATATGTAGTCAAACACTGGAATCCCCCACCTTTTCTCTGAAGATTAAATACAGAAATCCTCCCCTCTCCTCTACACACACACCATGGGGGTGCATACGCTCTAGTTGTAGATTTTCTTTTTCAAGTTGATTATTCTCTTGATATCGGTATACTCCATTTCAATCAGAATATGTCCCGTAATGATAGTCTTACTATAAGAAGCATTACAAGAAAGGTCAAGTTGCCAAGGTTGATCCAAGACAGTGGGTGTTCTAGAACACGGTAAGGTCTTCATTTCCAGGGCACCTCAAGCCTGAATTGTATTTGTCTAATCCTTAAACACAAATAGTTTTTGACCTTAAAATGTGAACGGTACTTGTTGGAAGCCTGACAGTACACTAAGAAATCATTTTCCCTTTCATTTAATTTTAAAACCAAGCCCACGGCAGAATCAAAAGCCAACAGAACTATAATTAGAAAATTACGCATGAGTAGGTAGAGTAATTTACTCAAGATCACTAGGTGAGTAAACGAACAAGAAAGGGTTCTTGTTGGTTTGTTTTGTCTTGTCTTGTTTCCCAGCACTGGGGATGAACCCAGGACCTTACCCCTGCTAGGTAAGTGCTCGACCACTGATTTAATCCCTAACCCACCCATTCAAGATTGTATTTGATTCCAGAGTTCAAGCAATGTTTGAACTTCAAACTGTTCAGGGCACAATTCCCTTCTTAGAGCACCGTGTTGGGAGAAAGAGGCTCTGGGGTTCTTGCCTCAGTGTATTTAATGCCAGGGTAAAGGAGAGTGGAGGAAATATTTTAATCTTAGGGGCTTATTTTAGGGCAATATTTTAGGGAAATATTTTAATCTCAGGTGACAGATGAGATGTTCAGAGTCTAGGACACCTTTAACTGGCTTTTGTTACTAGCTGAGTTTCTAAAAAGAAAAACATTTCTCAGCTAGTAACATGGGCCAGTTAATGGTGTCCTAGACTCTGAACGTCTCATCCGTCACCTCCTTCAGTCCACCCTCTTCAACACCAACTCCCGTCTTCCTCCCCTCCGAGCTCTGTTCAGCACAGATGCCCTCCACCCAGACCTCAGTTTTCCACTCGTCCCTACTCTCCATCCTCCTCTGTTCCCCCGGCTTCTCCTCCTCCACCACATCCCATCCACACACCTGTGGGACCTTCCTCATTTCCTCCTCCAGATTCCCGCTCTAAACTCCTTTTTCTGCTGTTTCAGAGGAACATAAGATCATCCAGGCAGAATTCTATATGTCCCCTGATGAAGCAGGAGAATTTATGTTTGACTTTGATGGTGATGAGATTTTCCACGTGGACTTACAAAACCAGCAGACAGTCTGGAGGCTTGAGGAATTTGGACAGTATGCCAGCTTTGAGGCTCCGGGTGCACTGGCCAATATAGCTGTGGACAAAGCCAACCTGGGAATCATCATGGAGCGCTCCAACAACACTCCGGACACCAACGGTACCTCTGTCTGTGTATTCCTAGGGTTGAAACCCACAGCTTCAAAATATATTCTTCAGGAATTTGTCTTATATTATTGCCATTTTCCTTCCCAGAGCCCTATCCCTACCAGAAGCAAACCACAAACTCTCATGCACAGCCCGAGGACTTCATGAGTTTGTTCTTTTCTGGATGTGCTCGAATTTTGTCTCTCTCATCCATGATCATGCACAAATCACTGCCCTGAGCCCATGATGGGGCAGCCAGGAGTGAGGTGTTTGTGTATCTCATCCCTTGGCATTGGCTCTCGAGTGTCAGAGCTATGTACCTGAGAATGGGGCACAGTTTTAACTGCTTTGCTTTGTTTTTCTTCATAGCTTTAGAATCAATAGATGTTTTTGTACCCAAATCAGTGTGGGAGGGAGAGGAGCAAGCGGAAGGAACGGAGGCTAATTTCTGTCGTGTGTCTCCTAGTGCCCCCCGAGGTCACCGTGCTCTCCCACGGCCCCGTGGAACTGGGAGAACCCAACGTCCTCATCTGTTTCATTGACAAGTTCTCCCCTCCGGTGATCAGTGTCACGTGGCTCAAAAACGGAAAGCCCATCACCACGGGAGTGTCGTCGACAGTCTTCCTCCCCAGGGACGATCACCTGTTTCGCAAGTTCCACTACCTCCCCTTCCTGCCCTCTACTGAAGACGTCTATGACTGCAAAGTGGAGCACTTGGGTTTGGATCAACCTCTCCTCAAGCACTGGGGTATGGAGGACACTTGAGTCCTCTTCATTTTGAAGTTTCCTCCTCTGATGCTTCTTTCTGGACCCTTAGAACTCAGAAGTAGTCCACGATGTCTGCCTGATTTAAACGGCCGTGCTCTCCCGTTCCTCAGCGCCCTTCACTTTTCAGTCTACATTCCCTTCCATACCTCGTTCTGCCCTCCCCTTCTTTATTAGTAACTGTTCACTCGACTACATTTGATCCTAAATGCTATTGCCTATGACGTTCATTACCATCTACCCGTTTTATTCCCCCCTTCAGAGTTTGAGGAGCGAAGCCCCCTCCCCGAGACTACCGAGACTGTGGTGTGTGCCCTGGGCCTGATTGTGGGTCTGATGGGCATCACTGTCGGCACTGTCTTGATCATCAAGGGCATGGGCAGAAGAAACACCGCGAGACCCCAACGGCCTCTCTGATCACATGAAGGTGGGTTGGACATGGTCAGCGGAAGGCACAGATGCAGTTACCTGAGGGAGGGAAGCAGACAGAGAAGGACATCTGATGCCATTGTGAGAGAAGGGTGAGAAACGTTGTGCCTCTTTGCTAGAAAAACTCGGTTACTGGCACCATCTTGTATCCCAAAGAATCTGTCATCCCCTTGCACACACAAACTCACAGATGACAATTCAATGAATCTTAGAAATGATCTCTGGTACCTAAGACCATTGTTTCTCATTGCAGTACTGCATCTCACTGAGTTAGGAATGTAAGTGTGTAAGGTTTACACCCTTTCCAGTTTATATCTCCTGAAGGATCCTATCAGGTCAGAAGCATTTCCAGGGTGCAGATCCTTTGGGGTTATGGTAAATTAATTGCATGAAACAGAAATCTCCTGGGGCCAGGACCCATTTTTTATCCTCCAGCCTGAAAAGTGCTTTTGAAAGATCTAAAAATAAATAAAGAATGGTTGTTCCTTCATGTTTCCTTGCAAAGTAGCTGTGGGTTTACAGCTCATGTTGGAAATGTTGCCTTTGAGAAAGGTCAGGTGAATATTAAGAGACTTTTCCATACTGAAATCATTAAAAGAGAAAGATATCTGAAGGAAAGAACTCAAAATATCCACCTTAAACTTCTCAGTAACAAGGCGTGTTCTGCTACAGGTGATGGCCTTTCTTAGAGAGAAGATCAATGAAGAAACCTCTACCTCGATACCTTTCCAAAGCTGGAAGTACTCCAACTGTTCACCTGCACGAAGAGAGTCATCTTTGGCATTTTCCAGCTCGGAAGTGCAAGAGTGGCGATGCCTTCCCCAGCCGCTCCGTGCTCTAACGTCCCCCTGGGCTTCCTGTCTATTGCCCTTCCTGTGTTTGTGTCCCCTCCACTTCTCACAGTTTTATTATCACCTTGAAATTCCTCTGGAACAAATCCCGTAAGAGTCTCTCTACTATGTAACTTTCTGTTGCATGGGACTAGCTATTGTTTGTCACTTGGGGTTTTCCCAAACTGTGAATTTTAAACATACAATAAAGTATTTTTATGAATTGTGGTGGAGATTTCAGTGTCTGAGCTAGTTCAGTTTGTGGGTAAAGGGTGTCTGGGAAACATATGTGATCAGGTACCTGAAGTATCTGAATGTTGAAATGTATTTTAACTGCGGAATTAATCAGAAACTCGGGTTCATTAGGACTTATTTTCATTTCAAGCATCTGCAGACAGTCCTGTTGTGGGAAATCCTCCTCTCGATAACTCTAGAGCAGGATTGGGTTTGGTTTTCTTTTTGGGCTATCTCTGCTAGCAACAGGTGCCAGGTCCCTTTTGGGTTTTGAACCTCAAGTCAGTGACATGCCTACACCTTCAATAGAGTGAATCTCAAATCCCAGGGTTTGACCTCTGGAATGAATGAGCGAGGTGGAGGGGAACAGGTAGGGGAGGAGAGCAGAGCAGAATGAAAAGAGGATCCACATATTTTTCAGGATTTGCACTCACATCAACATCACTGATTCCAGACTTAATCAGGAATGCAACAGGGCGCTGAAGACGAGTTACCTGGGTATTCATAGACAATGTTTTGCACACCTGTTTCATTACTAGAATAGTCTGATTCATCTTTGGAACTGTCTTATATTTGGGGATGTGCCTTGAGTTGAAAAACAGCGTGAAAATAGGGAGCAAGATATGCTATTTAAGTGAAGGAAAGAATATTTGAAATACAATGAGTTGATATTTATCTGTAAAACTATTCCAGAATTTATTTCTAATATGGTTGACAGAATCTACCACAAATCAGAAAAGAGAAGAGGAGAGGCACCCAACTCTCCCACCCCACCGCCTCGCTCCACCGGCCAGGCCCTCCCTTGAAGGCTGCAGGGGGCGTGGCTTATAAAGTTGTTAGGAACATTTGTGTGAAAACGAGTTTTCATTTCTCTGATGTAAATGTTCTGGACCATAACTGCTACATCATGTAGCAAATATATATTTAGTTTAGAGAGACCATACTACTTTATATTCTATCCGTGCATGAGAAATTCAGTTTTTCTGCATTCTAACCAGCATTTCGCATGGTCAGTGTTTTTTATTCTAGTTCTTTTCAGTAACTATGCAGTGATATCTCATCATATTACTAACTTGCATTTCTCTAATGGGAAAGACAGCACATCATCCTTGATACTTATTTTCCATATATATCTTCTTTGATAAAATGTCTCATTGTGTCATTTGCCTGTTTTGTAATTTTTTTTTTTAACTATGGAGTTTTGGTATTTCTTTATGTATTCTAGAAAATATGTCCCTTGTGATATATGTAGCTTTAAAATATTTTCTCCTTATCTGTAGCATGTCCTTTTAGCTCTTAATAGTATATTTTACAGAAAACGTTTTAAATTTTATAAAGACCACTTTATTGATGTTTTCCTTTTACCTATGATGTTCCTGCTGCCATGTACAAGGAATAGTCATCAGGCCCTGACTCAATAAGTCTTGATTTCTACACCTGTATAAAATTCTTATATTTGGTCAGAGTGACTTCCTCAGCTTTCTCTATTAAATTTGTTTTATATATTCCAATTATTTTTCTTTTAAATATTAATTTTAGAATAACTTTGAGTATATAACTTTTAAAGTTACCTTAATACCGCTTCGCTTTTTGGGGGGTCTAAGTAGAAATTGTATTAAACTTGGCTGTCAATTTGGGGGAGTTTTGGGGGCCACGAATTACAAACTGAGTCCAGGGGACCCCAGAGCTTGTTCTTGTTTTGCCCTTAAACCCGATTGGAACGCAGAAACTCCCTGCTCTTTTCCGGCCACAGCTGGAAGCCCCAGGGCCGAGGACTGCTGTGGTGCTGACGGGGCAAGATGAGACCTGCTGAGGACAATACGCCTGGGGCAACTCCAGTTTCCTCACTGCCCCCCATCTGGTCCTTGTCCTTGTCCTTGTCCTTGCAAGAATGCTTCACTCTTCTTACCAGCCCACTGTAGTCACCGTTGCTGTTCCTGGAAACACCCACTGCTCTTCACCAATTGTCCCTGACTCATACATAATAAATAAATACCAAGGTTCTGGCTGCCTCCTGGCCTTCTGTTCCCTGAGAGCAACTGCTTCGTCCCAGATCCCTGCTTGTACCTCTATTTCATCTCTTGCTCTTTCTTCCCACGGTGCGTCATAACACTTGGCAAGACATTGGAACCCATTGCAGGAGCAGGAGCCTCCGATAGGGGAGGAGTGAACCGACGTCTTAACTGTGTTCAGTTTTCTCATTGATGAACCTGGGAAATCTCTTCATTTATTTATAACTTCAATAAGCAATTCTGCATGAGTCCCAGACACAATCTGTTAGTGTTGTACATAAGTTCTACTCTTCTTTCAAGTGATTACAAATTATATCAACTTTTTAATTTTATTGCTTATATAGAAATAAAATTATTGTAGTTGATCTTGAATCCTTAACCTTCTTTCATAATTAATTAGTTTTTTGACATTTCTTTATTTGTTGGAACTGTAGGGTCAGGGGACTGTAGACAGGAAAAAAAATAGAATAGGGGCCTTATGGGGTCTTCTAGCTAATCTTCACTGGAAGGAGTTAAAAACCAACTTTATTTGAAAAATTATCCTGGGACATAATTCAAGGATGGGGGTAGAAAAAGAGAGAAAAACCAGATAAAGGAAGGCATCAAATGACCTTGGGACTTGCACCAAGGGACCACAAAAAGAGCTGGCAGGCAGGATACAGAGAGAAAGCCAACTGCACATACGATAAGCTGCCCCCACCTCCAGTAAAATATAGGGGAAGCAAGGTGGGGCCTACTAACTCTAAGACACTATGTCCTTACACCTATGCACTAATGTATATTTATATATGCATGTGCATTTACTCTAGAGTCACTACATTATTCACTCTAGGATCATTACAGAGTACAATAGATACCCACAATCCCCTTTACTAACTCTTAGGCAACCATGCATAAGGCACCTCCTTGTCCACTAGCAGCCCACCCCAAAGATAAGGCCTTAAAAGGAGGGTTAAGGACAAGTAAACAGAAAGACAGAAAGAAGCTGCACATAAACCAGCAGAAGAAATGACATTAAGCAGAGCTGCCCAGAAGCCAGTCCAGTTATGGCAAGTTCCGGGTGGAGAGGGAAGAGTCACTCAGTCCCTATAAAAACAGCAGAGAACAAAGGTCCATCGGTCCTCCATCTTTCTGGAGCCCCCCACCCTGATTTGTTTTTATCAGGGTGGCTATCTATCTTCTCCTCCCCTCTCTTCCTTTTCCTCTTTACAAATAAAGTGTCTGCCGTTTGTTAAATTTTGCCTCCCTAATTATTTATTGAGGCTGAGTTTTATGATCCTGGTGGGCCGCTTGGACAGCAGAGCAGTGGGGCTCGTTCCCCAGATGCAACAAAGCAAAAGAGGAAAAGCATTTAGTCTTTCACCATTAAGTATGGTTTATTGATGAGGATGCAGTGGTAGAGTGATGGTCTCTCATACATAAGGCCCTGCGTTCGATGGTCAGCACTGCAGAGAAAAAATAAAAGATTTAATAGTAGAGTAGGAAGTTCTCTTCTAGTCCATCTATTTTACAGGTTTTGGTATAAGTAGGCATTATTTCTCAAATGCTTTATTGTATCAACTGAAATGACTATATTATTTTTCTTTAGTTCACATGATATGACGGATTACATTGATTAATTTTAAACATTAAATCAGATTTGCAACCTAGAATGAACCCCACTTAGCAATTTTTATTTGGTTTTTATTTGCTAATGTATTTTTAAGGAGTCTTGCATCTACACTCATGAGTGTATCTTGCTTTTTAATTTTTTTTGTTGTACTGTTTATGCTTTTCAAATAAGCAAAGGTGGCCTCATAAAATGTCAGGATGCGTTCTCTTCTACTTTTCAGGACAAATTCTGTAAACTTTATATTCATTCTACCTAAAATGTTTGGTAGATGTCTCCAGTGAAACTATCTAGACAATGAACTCAATCTTTTAAAATTATAGAGGAGTATAAGTAGAATAAAGATATTCCATGTACAGGAACCTAGTAACGTTAACGGATATAAACATTATATGTGATCAACATGGGATAAGTTAATAATATCAACAAGAACTGTCTTAGTTACTTTTCTCATTGCTGAGACAAAATACCCAACCTCCAAAGTTAAAGGAAAAAAGGTTTATTTAGCTCACAGTTTGTGGAGATTTCAGTTCATTATCAGCTGGCTCCAACGTAGGGTGGTTTGGCAGAGGGGCATCACAGAAAAGCACAGTTCATGGTACCCACAAGATAGCAAAAGCAACAAGATCAACAGGGGGAGACAAGCCTCTTTCTGCTCCCTTTATTTTATCAGGACTGCTGGGATTAGGGCAGTGCCAATCCAATCAGTGGACTGATCCAGCAATCACCCACCGTTAATCCCAGCACCCTTAATCCTAGCACTGAATCATGAATCAGTCACAAGCCTCCGGAAAAGCTCCATCTAAAAGTGCTTGAGGTTTTGGGGGGACATCTAGACACAAACCATAACAAGAACCAAAATGGGGGAAAGGGATTTAGAAGGGGAGGGAGGAGGCAGGAGGGGAGCGGATTGAAAGAGTCTGGCTGTGTTATGTGCATGTATGTGCCCGCTCCCCAAGAGGACTGTGAGTGTATATACTGCAAATATGTACTAAAAAAGAAAGGCTAGAGAGATGAAATAACCAAAAAAAAAAAAATCACACAGCTATTAAATTTATTTACTCTTGAGTTGGTTTTGGTAGTTTGTGCCTCTCAAGGAATTTGAGATTGATTGGTCAAATTTTTTTTTTTTTTTTTTGTTTTTCTCCGGTATCGGGAACCGAACTCACGACCTTGTGCTTGCAAGGCAGGCGCTTTGCCGCTGAGCTAAATCCCCAGCCCCTGATTGGTCAAATTTATATACACAGTTGTCCGTTGTAGTCCCTTCGTGCACTGCTGATGTTTAAGCAGGCTGTAGAGTCCTGTCACTTCACTGATGATCCTGTTAATTTGTGTCTTTTTTCTCTCTTTTTTCAATTTGTCTGTTTTCTTTGAAATTTGTCCATTTTATTCATCTTCTCCAAGAAAACCACAACTTTTTCCTCTCATAGATACTCTGTATTGTTTTTAAAATTTCATTTACTTCTGCTTACTTACACTTATTACTTTTTTGTCCTTCCTTTAGGTTATTTCATTCTTTTTTTCTAGTTTTTCTAGGCAGAAGCCTAGATTGCTGAATTTGACCTTCACTCTTTTTCTTTTTTTTTCCAGTACTGGGAATCGAATTCACGACCTTATGCTTGCCAGGCAGGTGCTGTGTGGCTGAGCTAAATCCCCAGACCCCACTCTTTGTCAATATATGTATTTAATACTCTAAATATATTCTTAAACACTGCTTTCGATGTGTCTCACAAATTTTGATATATTGTTATTTTCATTCAGTTCAACATATTTTTTATTTCCTTTAAGACATCCATTTTCACCTGAGTTATTTAGAAGTATCTTCACAATTTTTCAAGTGTTTGAGATTGATTGGTTATCTTTATGTTGTTTTCTTTTTTTTTTTTTTTTTTCCTCCGGTACCGGGAACCAAACTCCCGACCTTGCGCTTGCCAGGCAGGCGCTTTTGCCGCTGAGCTAAATCCCCAGCCCCACTCTTTATGTTGTTGATTACTAGTTTAATTTCATTTCATTGTGTCCAGAGCACACTCTTCCTGCATTAAGTTCTTTAAAATTTGAGGTTGAGGTTCCTTTCATGGCCCAGGAAAAGATATAACTTGGTAATATTCCCTAGGCACTTGAAAGGAATATGTATTGTGTCGATTTGGTAGAATGATATTGAAGTGTCAATGAGATCCTATTGATTAATGGTATTGAGTTTTATATTCCTGCTGAATTTGTATTCAGTTATTTTATTATTTGTTCAGAGGGGTGCTGGAGTCTTCACATATGTTGTGGATTTATCTAGTTTTTCTTTCAATTCTATTGGTTGTTGCTTCACTTGTTTGGAATTTAGTTGTTTGGTGCATATCCATTTGGGATTGTGACACCTTCTTTGTGGATTAAAACTTTAATTGTTATTTAAAGTCTCTCAAAACACTCATTGCTTTATTGTTTCAATCATGTTAAGTGAAATAAGTCAGGTGTACAAACTTAAAAACTTTCCCTGAAGTGGGGAAGTCATTATTCTTTCAAAAACGTTTTTAGTATCATCCATTTTTTTAAATCTCCTGAGACTCCAGTAAAACAAAGTTTATATTTCTTGTTAAAGTCCCATAGATTTTTCAATGTGACATAATATAATGAAAAACTTCACAAAAATAAAGTTATAAGTAGTGGATAAACTACTCAAAATTTCCAAAAGCTGACAAATGAAATGAAATATGAAGAGTTACGCATGCAACACAGATAACAAATTTATTCTATAAAACCTTCCTACAAGAAAACCCCAAGTTCAACCTTCTTCAATAATTGTGATCTCTCAGGAACAAATATCACAAATTATATGCAACTTTTTATTGTCGAATGACATCATGTTGTATAAGTATAACATGTTTTGTTTATCAATTTATTACATGGTTGCTATTTGGATTGTTTCCTGTTTTGGCTCTTTTTTATTAATTATAAATGTTTATTGAAAGCACCTATACCCCCATTTCATGGTAACAAATGAAAACAAAACACACGGGTTATAAGAGTATTAAAACATAAAATAGTGATAAATCTCGCCACGAGATTGGCTCTTATAACTAATGCTGCTCTTCACATTTGCACACATATTTTGGGGAAGGCATATGTTTCCATTTCTCTTGGGTATTTTTGCTCAACTTATGCAGCAACTGGAACCAAGATGGGGCACATAAGGGCTATATGTGATGGTGGAGAAATTGTGTTCAAATAATTATTCCTCTAAAATAAACTTCTGAATTGATAATTTATTTTTTGCTTTGATTTACATTTGAACCAATGGACGCTTCAAATGGAACACAACAGCACAACCTGCTTTCTCATTCAACTCCCACGACTTTCTCTGGCAAACATCCACCTGCGTATAACAGCACGATAATGAGGTCTACGAACTTAGATTCACAAGTATAGCTACAAAATTATAGGCAAGATTTTTTTTAAAAAGTATTGATTTGCTTTTCAAGCTTGCTTTCCATCAAGTTCTTTTCGTACTTTGTTTTCCTCAATAGTTCATGTTGAGGTTTGCGGCATTGACTTTTTAAGCTTTTTCTCCCATTTCTAATTGACAAGTGAAAAGTAAGTGGTAAATAAAATTATTTATGGTGTACAGCATGATGTTTGAGAGACAAATACACAGGAGGATGGCTAACAACCTCTTTAACATATGTAGCTTCTCACATAATTATACATAAATGAGAATCATTTCTGTACTGTGATGTCATCTTCCCTTTTCTGTTTCTCGTTCTGAGAACTGTATGAAGCAGATGATCTTTCACTCCATGCTTGTTTGAGAAAAATATAATAACATAATGTGCACAAAGTGAGCTCAGAGATGCAGGAGTCAGGAAGGGCTGAACACAAAAGGGGCCAGGAGAGAAGGAAAGGAAGGGAAGCTCTGGTGTTTGTGTGAGGGCTTTCAAGTCAGGGGTGGTTGAAGAAGCACCAGGAGGACACGTTCTGTTCGGTCCCTGATCCAGGGGAAGCAGGTTCTGGAGCTGCCTTGCTCTGTGGAGGAACAAAAGCCAAGCAGGAAGCCTGGAGCAGTGTAGACAGAGGTAGGGACACAGGTCCATCTTTCAGTGTTGTCACCTTCACTTCAGCTCAGAAGTCCTGGAGAAGACAGAAGACGGTGATGTTTCCAGACCTAACTGTGCATTCCCCTTTCCCCTCTCAGGACCCCTTTTAACAGCATTGCAGAAAGGAGAGAGGTGCATTCTCAAGTCTCCAGAGCCAATGGTACTTCAGAACAGAGGCCTCTTATTAAATGGATTAAACACAGAAAAGGTTTAGTGAAACTTCCAGATCAGAAATTTGGGCCTGAAGTTTATCCTATTGTTTCTGTCGTGAGTTTTGTCTCCTATGTCATCTATCGCAAGGGAAGCAAATCCTCTTCTGAGAGAGGGTTAAAGGACATTACCTGTTGCTGAGAGAAGAAAGGAAGATACTTAAATGGCATGGATGGATTTTTATCCTCCAAAGACAATGGTCCCAGGACCGGAACTGCCAACTGAGGTTTCTTAACAACATGATCCACACCAGCCAGCACAGAGAGGGGAGCACAAACTGAGAACACGTGACCCAGGAATCCCACAAATCCCACAAATCCAGTGTTTCCCACAAGTCCAGGATTTAGTGGCTCCTCCTTTATTTTCCCCAGTCTCTCCTTAGCCCTTCTTTTATCTCGATAAGCCATACACCTTTGGGCTTCAACATAGTAAAATAGACTTGATTTCTGTATTTTCAGGAAATTTGAGATCAACTGGGGAAAGGGAAGCTTAATACAGAGCTATGGATATGCTGATAACTAATCTGAGAAAAATATATATCTTTCCCCACAAAAATCTTTGGAAATTTTCAGTTACCGACAGGCTCCTTACCTTTCTAATCCTGAGGTTGATGAGCAGCCCCACCCCAAGGAAGAGCAGACCCAGCCCAAAGGTTATAACTCCACTCAGCATTTTATTCTGTGCAGATCCAGACTGTGTTTCTGAAAGAGGAAGCCAAGTTTAGTGATTTTTCATCTCAAGCCTAACCTCTCTCACTGAGACCCTGAGATTCAGAGCTTTGAGACTGCAGGAAGATGCCTGCGCTAGAAGCGCTAGCATTGGCTATTCTTGGAAAGAGAGATGTAGAAATCACAGTGAGTTGGTACAACACTTAGGCCTTGAGCTTATTTAAATATACTGTCCTTGAAATAGCACCTGATCTACAAGGCTCTGGGACGCAGTGAGGTTACAGAGCGTGTCTAGGGTGAATGACGGGGCTGAGAGTGGACTCCTTTCACGCCGGGAAGACCCATCCTGACCCTCTTTTTAACACTGTATCGCTTATTTAGAACTAAGATTGCATTAGTTTAAGGCTAGTGAAATAGGTATCTGCCCACCCCTTTAGAGGCAGGCCTGTTCAGCAGCAGCATCAGGGACATAAGTTCAAGCTACAGGCAGGTCTGAAGCAGTGAGCGCATGGCCACTATTCTGGAAACGTCAGCCCTGTTGTGTGAGGACTGGTCCCAAGGTGCCCAGTGAAGGAGTCAGACAGATCCAGGACGGCACAGAGTGCAGTTTATCGTGGGACTCAGTGATAGAAGTGCGGCCCTTGGCAGCAGCATGATCAACTGGGTCGCTGAGATCTGGGATAGAAAGAGGGGTATACGCATTAGTTAGGACCCAGAGTGACTTCATCTAACCCAAAATGTACCTGGTTTAAGATAATACCAGAGATCTAGGACGTTTACATCACCAGAGCCCAGCTGTAAAGCTCCACGTACTACTCCAGTGGTTTTGTCTATTTGTACTTTGCTGGGAGATTATGCAGAAAAAAACCTAACTGGAGTCACTCTAGCATAATCATGGTCATAACCCAGGTTCGCTTAGTTGGGTCAAGCTGAGTCCACACATTCCATCTCTTGTAACTGGCTTTTACAATCTCACGTCCGCCTCTTCTGAGAGATGCTCTGCATCTCAAAGGGTTTTAGTGTGGGCAGCATGCTGTGAGGCTGTTTTTCTGGTTTGTAAGCACAGTTCACAGCAACAGCAGAAGCGCTGCACAGAAAGAGATGGGGAGCAATCATGCACAGGCAGTAACAATGTTTCTTCACTCTGAGCCTCAGGAACTGAACTAACAACTTCGTGTGTGTCCTACGAAAGGGACAGGATTGGACGAGGCACTGATTTGGGTTTTTTACATGTGACATGAAGTGTGTGATATCAGGATGTACAGATAGCAATGTGTCTCGATATCTGCACAGAGTCTAGGGAAACTAGATGGAAAATAAACACTTTGTGGGGACTTTTAAAGACACACGTACATCGTCCATAAGGAAGATTGGTGGCATCACCTCTACGAGGCAGTGTGGTGCAGCAGGTAGTGGCTAGTGTGACAGAGCATATGTAACCACTCATGTTGGCCAACACGATGGGTTCCACGAGCAGTTCCTAAAACTAATGATGCAATGACATGCCAGACCAGGAGGCTGACTGCAGAACACCGAAGAATTTTTAGCTCCCTGAAGGCATCATCCATAACCACAGGGCCACATGCCAACCAGATCAACAGGAGCCATGTTTGCTGTGGACGAAAACCTACTAATAGTTTTTGTCCTCATTCTGCTCATTGGCTGATCAGACCTTCTCCTGCTGCAAACCAGACAGAATCATTAACAGGTTGCGCTGCATCATCAGTCCAGACACTTTGGTCCTCTGCTGAGCCCATTTGTATACCAAGCACTCCCTGGCATGGAGGCCACGCCCTCATGGGCTTGTGAGATCATGGGCACCGGGCTGGCCACCAGCCCCAGCTGCCATGTTATAGGTAACTGGGCCCAACAGTTACTTGGGCTGTGGAAGTTAGCAAGCTATTGGAAAGGACACTGAATTGTAAATACATATACTGTATCACTTATTTAGATTAAGGGTTGCATGAGGTTGCATGGTAGTGAAACATATCATCTGCCCACCCCTTTAGAGGTAGGCCAGTTCACACAGTGATCAGTAAAGTCTTGGTCAGTGGCCGCAACTATAAGAGGGCATAGTATACTGCTAGAAACTGCTGTTGTAAAGGGGGAAATAAGGTTCTGGATCCCTCCAGAATGGTGACCTAAGACTTGACCTTGTTCTTACCAGAAAGCCCAGCTCATACTGTGTGCTGTACTGGTGACACCTAACTCTATTGGTACTACTGGCACAGGGGTTCCCAGAGGCTGCACTTGGTCTATCAAAATATTTGCTTTTTCAAATACTTTCTCCTGGGGAACACTCCTCTGCCATATTGCTCCCATCTTGATAAATCAATATAGAAGGTATAAGCACTGAGATTATGTAAGAAACAAAATCCTACCAATAACCAAGAGCTCTACAAAAGCCTGTACATTCTTCACTATACAGAAAATAAGTAAATGTTGCTCTTTTATCTTGCACTGCACCTGCAATCAAATGACTCATGTTCTACCACACACTACTCTGAGGAATTTCAGAGTTGATCCAGAACCTTGAATCTTGCTGGAGTTGATAAACCTTCCTGTTAAGCACAGGTAAGTATACATTCTATTATTCTATAGCAGAGTAATCTTTACCAGTTATCGTATCATCCAAATAATAAAACCAGGTGATATCAAAGGGACTATCCAATGACTTTCCTCCCCAGTGAAAATAAGCTGACTTTCTGAGTCTGCAATCGTTCTCCAAGATCCACTCAGCTTTTTCACTGGCCAGAAAGGGTTACTAGAGGCCCTGCGAGCAAGTCATAAAAACTCAGCCAATTCTAATTCTTTTGTGGTCTCTCCAAACTCAGCATGTACCTGGAAGCTTATACTGCCTGGTATTTATTCTTCTTCTGGGGACAGAAAGGCTACCAGGGTCCCATTTTGCTTCCTCCCCAACACTATCTTTACTACCAAAACTTTGGGTTTAAATTCCCCCACAGAGGTCTTTAATGTCTTTTCTGCTGGAATGTCCATTCCAAGAATGTTCTCAGGGAATGGAAAAATTAGTACCATATACTGATCAAGGAATACTATCCCTAGATTTAGATTAAAAAGTTATTTTCATGGTCTTACCCCCATATCCATAAATAACTGTCTAGGGATTCAGAAAGTATTCTGGTTTGCCATGGATCAGTGTACATATCTACAAGTAGCTATATCTACAAGAGTGATAGTAATTTCTTTGGTCAGCAGACATGAGGAGAGTGATTTCTCATGAGGCCTCTGGCCTTCCTTTGTACCACTTGTTCTGGGGATTAACTTGGCACCACTCTTAATCAGGGGAAGTAGGAGGAATCCATACCTGTAGTTGGAAGTACCACGGTGTGCTTCTCTACAAGAGAGGCAGATGGAAAGTGTTGGATGATTGTTTAGGCAGAAGTTCTTTCCATAGGGTGACCAACATTGTGTTAGATTATTTACTTTTATTTTTTCTTAAAGATTCTAATGTGAAATAAATTGGATTTCATCTGCTTTCCTGATAATTTAACCAGCTGTCCATTTCTTTTCTCTCTTTTTCCCTCTTTTTCTCTCTATCTTCTTTTCTCTCTTTTTTCTATCATTTTTTTCTACCCCACTTTGTGACTATATTTAAGTATTGTGTGAATAGAAAAAAAGCAAACTTCATAGGTACACAGGACATCTTCTATTATTTCAAGCTCAAGTTCTTCCTCACTCCCCTACTCTCATGGATTTCAATCCTTTGAAGACTATTCTAATTGCAAGATAATAGTTTGCATCTGAAATAAAAGATAGACAATAGGACATAGCGAGATAGATCTTTGGCATATAGGAAAAGAACTGAGAGATGAAGGGAGAAGTGAAGGAGGAGAGGGAAATAAGATTTAAAAGTGTGTGTACATGAACCAAGTTCCAATGAGAAATGTGATCGTCATCAAGTACTACAAACATGTATTAAAAAAGAATATATATACAATAGTACCTCGGTTTGCGAATGCTTTGCAAAAAAATTGGTTCACAAAGGAAGCACTGGGTAAAATTTTGTTTTTGTATGCAAACGCTTCATTAGGTGACAAGCATGACCACAGCCGCCTTTTCCACACAAACACAAATGTGGCCATCATTTTTGGAATCATACAACAAATTAAGTTCATGAAGAGAGGTACCACTGTATATGAGGAAGGGGTTCAAGAGATGCAGGGAGGAATTAAGAAATATCATGTACATATGCCAACCCCCACCATAAATGTAATAATTATGCACTACAAACATGTAGCAATAATTATTAAATAATAAAGAAATAAATGTATGTTTGCCACTTTCTCAGCCAGGTAAGAGGCTAAGAGAACAAATGACAGATCCATGTCTCTTTCAAGTTGTAACTCTCCTAGTTTCTTCCTCCTCTCCTCTGAAGCCAGTTGGGCATTGAACATCTGAATTGGTCACAGCATTAGTCATCTCATTGCACCAGCAAGACACTACCCTTCCTTCCCACAAAAGGATAAATGGCTTTCAGCAAACAGCTACTACAAAATCAGTAACTATTTGGGGGTGTTACTGTAGTCACATAGTGGGCTGAAAACATGTACGGTAAGCGCCACTCCTACCCACATTAAGTTAGATGGCCAACCCAAGATGGCTTCATGAGTGCTTACTTCCTTTGCTCATTGCCTTGGCCTCCTGGCTGGCCTGCCAATTATTCTAGAGCAATACAGCCTCAGTGTATGCAGGCTGGCCCCAAGGTACCATGTCACAGAAGAAAGATAGGTAAACAGATCTAGAATTGAACAGAGAACAAAGTATTTGTGATAGCAGCCCCAAGAAGATCCTTGGGATTTGGATCAGAAGGTTAGGCCAAAAGTGACTTCATCTAAATTATAATGTATGTGGTTTATCTTGAACTAACATCCTTGACTTCATGGCTCAGTTGTAAATTTCCACATACCAGTCTAATGGTTTTGTTTACTTACAGTTTGTTAGAAAACTATGCAGGTAAAACGAACAGTTATACTGGGGCAATCATGCTGGTTACCATTTCAGATGGCTGTGATCATGTCAAGCTAAATACATACAGTGACCTTCACATGTGATAATATGGGAAAGTTTGGAACAAGGATGGTCTCTCTTTTCATGGGGAGACATAACTGATCTCATCAGGCACACAAATCTCTGTAAAAACTATCACAGGGATACCCCCATGTACAGAAGGAAAGGAGAACATGAAGCAAATAAAATTATGGTGTAGGGATGTCTTAGTTACTTTTCTCCTTGCTAAGACAAAATACTTGACATGCAGTGTTAAAGGAGGAAAGGTTTATTTAGCTCACAGTGTGTAGAAATTTCAGTCCACAATAGGCTGGCTCTAAGGCAGTGTCACTCAGCTGAAGGGCAACCATTCTTGGATGCAGAAGACACCAAAAGCAATAAGAGAGGAGATTTTTGACTTGGACTTTTCAGCAATGCTGAAACTATTAGGATTTTGACAACTCTTGCAGATGAATTAAATGCCTTTTGCATAAAGGGATACACATGAGTCTTTGGGAGGGTAGAGGCAGAATAGTATGGTTTGTGTTTGGATGTCCCCCTAAAGCCTCATGTGATAGGGCCTTTTCAAAGGTAGCTGAATCCAGAGTGTGTCATTGATTACTAGTACAGTACTCAAATTTAAGGGTGTGAGTGCTATACCTACCCTACGGCAGGTAGCCTGCATGTAATATAAGGAACAGAAAGAGGCTTTTCCTCTCTCCCTCTCTTGCTTTTTGTTTTTGCTGTCTTCTGCCTCCATGAACTGTTGCCCCTCTGTGATGTGCCACCCTGCCTTGGAGCCAGCTGATTATGGACTGAAACCTCTACAAACTGTGAGCTAAATAAACCCTTCCCTTTTTAACTTTGGGTGTTAGGTATTTTGTGTCAGCAACAAGAAAAGTAACTAAGACAAGGGAGAAGAGAAACTTGACACTCAGGGATAAGCCAAGACCCCTTTGAAGATGGGTGGGTAATTTATAAGGTCAGGAAGGTTCTCACTCACTCCATTCCACTGTGACAGGGCTGCTCCAGCTCGGGTGCTCCACTTGGCAGGCATAAACCTCTCCTCTCTGAGGAACTATTTCCAGCATGACCAGGGTCTGGAAGGTCCAGTCTCCGTTCCGGATCAGGCCTGTGGACACCACCCCAGCCTCCTCCTCCTGCCCGTTCCGGAACCATCTGACTTCAATGTGGCCTGGGTAGAAGCCACTCACAGAGCAGACCAGGAGGTTGTGGTGCTGCAGGGGCTGGGTCATTGTAGGGTACACAGTCACCTTGGGCTCAACTAGAGGAGAAAAGGCAGAGCGAATAGTCAAGAAGGAAGAGTAATCCTTCTTGGCTGGATGTCTTTCTGTCTCCTTTCATCACCAGGTTCAAGTACAGCCGTCCCCCTCACAGCTGGTCATGAGACCTAATGGTGTCTTGAGCCCTTACACTAGGGACTCACTGTATTTGAAAGACAGGGAGGCAAATTATGTTGTTTTGTGTATAGTTTGAAAAAATTATTCGGTTTTGAATTGAAATGTTTACAAAGATTTCCAAAACATGTAGTGTATTAATTAGTGTGATTTCTGGATTACTTGGGTTTAAATCCTGGATCTACCTCTTACTGGTTGATCACAGAAGAGTTTTTTACATTTCTTTTTGCCTCAGCTTTCTCACCTACAAGGGGAATAATGACACAGATTTACTTTAGGGTCATATGAGGTTAGTGTACCTTAAATATCAAGTAATGACTGGAATTTCGCCTTCAATATATGTTATGTTTATTAATTATGCTTGAGAAAAATTATGACTCAAAGCAGTGTGGGTGGATGGATGCTAAACATACTACCTCAGTGGACTCTCACCCTAAAATGCCTCAGAAAAGGCTCTACCCTGGGAAGAAGTGTCAGACAGAAGTGACTCTCTAAGGCAGAGAGCCGAGTCCCAGGAAAATCTGGAGTCCTGAGAAGAAGGAAAAGAGTAAGAAAAGCCATCCTTTAAAAGTTCTTATGTTTACATTTTGTTGATAATCCTTTTAACATAAGCATATTCATTATTAGAATTGTTATCATTTTACAACTGCTTCTCTTTCTGACTGACACTTGAAGCCTGGCTTGGGTCTCAGACTCCGTCTAGTGTGTGTGCTTAGTGCCTGGGACTACTCTTGATGCAACCAACCTCAATAAATGCGTATTTTTAAAAAGGATAAACCTGGGGAAAATATTTTCTTTAAAAAATCAAAAATGGTATATTTAAAATTGATTGCTTAATACAGAGATGTTTGCAGAAATTTTCATTAAATAAAAGTTTAAATTATGGACATAGAAAGTAATACAAATCAAAATATAAACCACAAACCAAAGGAAATGCTGAAGCAAATATCAACAAAGTGTTAAATTTTTACTGCATAGAGATCCCACAAAACACTGAGAAAAACACACAAGGGGACCAGGGATAACAGACATTAGACACTTCTCAGTATGAATAACAATTGGACAATAAGTGAAAAATGTCCGGGAAACTTAGAAATAGAAGAAATGGAAATTAAGCAAAGCACCAGTGAAAATTAAAATTTAAAAAGACTGAAACAAAAAATTAAACATACAAAAATATAAGTTTTTAACTGAATATTTGGCAAGATTGAAAAGATCTAGCAGAAGAGAATGTGAAGTCAGTTGCCCTCACTGTACAAAAGAGTACATAAATATTTAAATCGTATTAGCATTATCTAAAAAATAGTAATAATATATCAAGTAATGAAATTATGATTTAAAAACCAGTTAGTCAATCATTTCAGGCATGTAAAAATTGCATACTAAGAAAGCAAACAAAACAGTAGCAGAAAATTTTGACCTTAAAGAAGCCTCAGCAAGGTCAGCAGTGACTCAGCGGTACACACACACACACACACACACACACACACACACACACACACACTCAGGACCTCCCCAATGGCCCTGGCTACCCCTGGTCCAGCACTCACCTCGCCGATTTAACAGGAGTCTAACGAATTCATAGTTGTTTTTGCACCTGTCCACTGCTGCCCGATAACTGTCCAGGACGTCCTTCTGGCTATTGAGGTCCTCCGCTATGGGCCGCCCCAACTCCGTCACCGCCTGGAACTCGCCCACATTGCTATCAAAGCGCACAAGCTCCTCCTGGTTATAGATGTATCTGGTCACATGCTGCACCCGCTCAATTCCATTGAGGAAATGACATTCAGCCTTCATCTGCCCCAGGAAACGCACTATGGGGACAGGAAGAATGGATGGGTCACAGCTGGGCCCCTGTGGAGATCGACTCTGATATCTACCATGGTGGCACTCAGAGAGATGGTAAAAGCCATAGGAAACTTCTGACTGGCTCTGCCTGCAGAACCCTCCCTTCAACTATTAGACCCACTCCTCCGTGATGGATTAGAGGTCAACAGGCCAAAGCTGGTTTCTCCTCTCCTCCCCTCAAGGAAACTTCCACCTGAAAGACTTTCTATTCCCTTTCCTCACTCAGGACCACCGCCTTACTCCCTAAGATCTCCCTTATGCGGACCCTGTGCCAGGATGGTGCTGCCCCTGGGAGTCCAAAGACAGAGAAGCAGACCCCTTCTCTCCTGGAGATTTAACTAGTGAAAGTGAGGCACAAATGCCAAACATACAAGAAGTTACTCAGGAGTGAAATGCGTCACAACAGAAGTGTAGAGTTCTGTTCATTAACAGAGGAAGCTCTAAATGACAGTCAGTGCCAGAGAAAGACTCTGAGGAGTGACATTTAGGATGTATCATGAAAGGCTCAGTCAGTGTGAGCTGGAGGAAGAGGGTGGTGTATGCACCTATTTGGAGAAAAGGGGGACACATATCAAGTTAGGTGATACCATGTGCGGAAGCTGAAAGAACTGATGAATTTCTTCAAGACAACAGGGCACCAAGACACCAAACAAGGGGAAGAGGGCCAAAGATGAGACTGAGGGAGACCTGGAGAGCTGGGTACCTGAAGGTCTTGTTATGATCAGGAGTTTGGATTTATAGTGAGTAATGGAAAACCACTGAGAGGCATAAGGATTAAAATCATGATAGTAACACTGATTCAAAATCTTTTTATTTGAATTTCCAAATCTAGAAGCTCATAAAGCCACGTACTCTTTTTAAAAAATTTGTGTTGTTAGTACAAGTTTGCATTATGTAATGATTACATTCATTGTGAGGCACTGACAAATATATACAACACATCTTAACTCTTTTTAGGTCCCCTCCCCCTCCCTTCCATTCTTGATACATCCTTCTATTTTTCCCCTTACCTTCCCCGGCCCCTCCCTCCATCTCTTGATCCTTTTCCCTTTCAAGAAAGACCCATCTCCCTACCCATTTGTCAAATCTAACTGAAGGAGTAAAGGTAAAGATATGTCTTAGGGGTCATGAAATCACATGTGCTTGTATATTTTCAATATACAGAAACATACCTTCTTAGAGTCCATATATATACCTATCCATAGACACATCATGTTTATATATTTGCTTTTGTTCTTATATTTAATTGAGCTCAGCAAATGTTTAAAAATAGGTTTAAAATGTGCGGTTAAAGGTGAGATAAATATATTAAAGCATCAGACATGATCAATGGTGCAGAATAACTGCAGAAGTTTGAATATATTTGTAGCAGCCACCACTATTTATGGCTTACAAAGGCAAGCTGCTGAAGCTGAACAGAGATGGTAAGGACCAAGAACTCATGAAACACTGAAAAATATTGCAGGAAGTATAAAAGGCAAAAATGAAGATCTTGAACTTGTATCAGTTGAATGAAATTAACAAGGAAATGGAGAATTCATGACGCTGTCCTATTTGGTTTGTTTTGTAATGAGACAAACTAAAATGAACCACAAGCAACTGAATTGGAAGGGGAGTGTTTATGAAACACGTGAGTCTAGACTTCTAGAAGCAGTGCAGTGTAAACCAGTGTGCTCAACCTCTGTGAATGATCTGTGACACTCTGTGACATTTTGAGGCAGACAATTTGCGTGAGGTCTGTTTGTGGAAGCTGGCAGTGAAGTGTGTAAAGCAAGTGTCCCTTGGGAAGAACCACTGGTGTAAACCACCCGAAATATCAGTGGTGAAAAAAACCACTGATAATTATGAAGTAGCTGAGAATTACATAGAAAAATTTACCAATTATACCATCCAATAAAGACCTTGGTTCTGAACAAATTTATTTTGCTGAAGAAAAGCCCACACTAAGATCAGATTTCTAAAATGTTCATAATGTCTAATAAGAGAGAAAGCTATTTTCAAAGCTATTATAAATTACAAAATTCTCAATAAATTTTTACTCCTCTTGGGTGTTATAATGCTTGCTATAAGCGAAAGGGGCAGTAACTGGAAAAAGTCGAAATCCAGCATGTCTGAAATGTATATTTTACTAGAGAATTTTTTTAAAGGAAAATATAAACAATTAACAGTATATGTTTTTAAAGATTCAATAGCCACTTGTGTCATTGTATTAAATTCATTATAAGCAAGCTGGGCTCTGAGAAAAATCTAAAATTTTATTGTTCCCGTAAAAATGCTCCCATGCCACATTCCTGAACTTCTTGTACAAGGTGAAGTTTTGGCTTTTAATGTCACCCATATGACTTCTGGGTTGAAATTTTATGACCAAAGAATCTTGTCCTATGAAGAGCAGGTATGAATAATTTTTAAATTCTATGCTTACTGCAGATTAAAGAGGCCTAAGAATCCACAGCTTTCTGAAAGAAGTCAGGTATTGATTATTAAAGCTAATAATTAATAAATCAACCTTAGCAAATATTTGGACAGACTTGGGACCATGTCCATGATTATAAACGGACTAGCAGAGGACACACATGTAAATATCATCTTATTCATGAAAAGGGAATCATATAAATTTCAATATACGATACAAGTTTATCAGGAAAAAATATAAACAAATTAAAGGAAGATGACATAAAAATACAGAGCATCCATGTGGTACAGTTGCAGGAGCATGGATATCAGTTCTGCAATTCCAAATGTCACTTGCACATGCCCCGGAGGACCTAAGGAACACCTCCTCCAGGGCCTATGCACTTGGAACCATAGCTGCTGGTGTCAAAAGCCATGATACCACTTGTGCTTATCTCTTGGGGCTTAGAGAAGCTATTATCTGAGTCCCACAGGTCCATTAATGGGGCTAATAGGACATGTTCCAGCACCATTCACGATCACCTGTAGGAGCTAAAAAATAGATCCCTCTGTTTTCACAACTATTTCACATCTACTCAGTGCCCTCTACTGCTTTACATTCTTCCCCTTTCAAGCTCCCAGTAGGCATCAGATTATCAGCCTTGGCCAGGACTCTTAGGCTCATAGTTAGGTCCTCACAACAAGGAGACACTGAGACCGCGGTATCTTCACATAGACCGTTTACAGGAAATTAGCAGCTCTCCAGACTTTGCCCTGGAGGAAACACAGCAGGAGGAGTACATTCTGCATCAGACAAGGTCTTTCTTGCTATTTGTAAGTTGTCTACATTGTGACACATGAGAAAGTTAATACATAAAGCAGAAGTTTCTGTCCCACCTCACCTCCCATATTGCTCCTGTGTTGCACTATTAGTCCGTACCATCATTCTGTCAGCGTGATTGCCGTCCCTAGTGAGTCTCCCAGAGGCAGTGGAAAACATCGCTTATTTAGCCTTGAAATGTCTAAATGGGCTTAAGAATCTATTATTACATCTCTCAAAGTGAATAATTACAAACTAATGGAGTGGCTTGATATTACTTACTAGAAAATCTAGCAATTGAGATAACAAATAAACCGTGGCCCCTCTTGAAAATGCTGCTGTCACCATGTCTCCTTACCTTTCATCTGCCTCCTTGCCTACATCTCCCTCCCCTCCACTTCCCTCTCTCCAGCTTCCTGCTCTCAGATCTCCCCTTCTGCACAAGCTTCCCAGATGCTGTCCCTGGGTTCCTTCCCTAACAGCTCCATTTAGCTTCTAAAGACAGGGAATGGAAACAAACATAGCACTTACACTCTTCAGACAAATCCGAGGGTTCATCCAATATCAATATTCATTCACTTCCAACAACAATTTAGCCTGATCATCAATGCCTATAAAACTAGATATTGAGATCTTTCCAATTTAACCACACTCTTGTGGGGAATGTGGTGGCCCAGGCATGGACCTTAACTGCTGAACTGAAAACACCCTCGGGGGTTTTAAACAAGTTTCCAGATTAAGATTTGATAAATCAGAGAAGAGTAGCTGGTCTAGAAGGGCTACTCCTTTGATTTTTTCCTCCATCAGGGATGAACTAGAAATCTGTCCAGCATTGCATCCCCAAAAAGGATGAGTCAGTTCTCAATTACTTTCATAGACTTGAACAAACCTGTCAAGAAAACTATTTTAACTTGAACTTTGTGGCTGGGCTTTCTCACTCTTAGCACCCTATTTGAACAACATGATCTCCATTAGGTGACAAAATGTCCCATGAAATAGCCTCCCTAGCTAACAACCAGCTATCAAGCTCCACTGAAAAAGGGGAAGAACCTGGAGTTGCCAGAGCCTTACTTTTCCAAATTAACAGCCTTCTGTAGACAAGTAAAGAGACTCACCCAGCCACCCCCCAGCTCAGATCAGAAAGCTGCCTTTTCCGTGCACACAGGCCGTGTCAGAATGGACTGTCTTCAAACAAACACAAGCCCACACCGAACCCTGACAAAGTCACACCTGACTGATCTGGGGAGGTTGGTCCTGCTTAAAATCAATTGGGGGAATCAGCTATAAGACTGGCAACAAATTATTCAGAGCTCTGGCTAGCTTTGAATCTATGATGTCTCTCCTGCATCCTGACAGAATTTCAATGTCTTCCTCTCCAGATTTCTGGTTTTATCAAGATGTTCATGGTGCTAACCAACTAAGGGCAGTTCCCAAATCTCTACCTATTTCTTTCCAATTAGGCTTTCTTTCAGGAAGCTACTGTTTCTTACCCTGTGAGCAACCATGCATATTTTGAGGAGACATTTCTGGAAGTATATAAAATCATATCTCTTTGTTCCCAAAGGTGGAAATGACCCTAGAATTAACCCCACCAGAAGGCTCTGGTCTTACAGAGCTAGCCCCTACCCAGCTGGCCCTGAGCCTGTACTCTCATTAACCCTAATCACTCTGCTTCGCCTAGAATTACCCAAAACTTCTGGGGACATCCCAGTACTGATATGATCATATCTTTCAAAATCTCCAATTAAAATCTAG